AACCATTTCGTATGTCACTTTGTATTCAGATACGCAGCAATCTATCTGTGCGCTGGTATGGAAACACTCCTAGAAGAAATCGCACTTATAGCTGGTAGCAGTGCAGCTAGTACGCCCATCACACCAGCAGTCGTAGACCATGCTGTAGCGAACTGTGCTGATCTCTGGGGACTACTGCAGCCATATAGCCATCTGAACGCTGGCAGGGTTGCTTCAGGTAAGACGTGAATAGAAACTGATTAGACATTAATTATAAATATGCACTTATCATCTTATCTTTAATTTGATAAAATCATCTTCATGTTCAGGAGCATTATCCCTGTCTCGTTGGGAATCCATGAGCTCTCTCGGTTCTGGATCATCGTCAGGAGTGTCCCGTCCCGAACACAGACAACTAGGACTTAGTCACGACTCTGGTATAACTACTAACGGTTCTGGTATGTTGGAAGCCAAATCTCTCGTATTCTTCATTTTGTATCTTCGGTTCGTAACTGGTTTCATCCTTTACAGGTGGTTCAGGTACCTCAGCTGGTTCCAACAACAGTTCTGGTGGTTCTACTGCGTCTGTTCTCTTGACAACTTGCGCCGGCTCTGCGTCAGAGTTGCGAGCTGTGCTGCGGAGGGTGCACCCTCGATTACCGCCCCTATCTCCCGCTGCTGAAAGAGCTTTGTACTACTTTATGAGGTGTTCACAGGTATGTATCATAGAAGAAAGAAAGATGAAGAAAGAAAAAGAACTCTTGCTAAAGAAAATAAGAACCATTTTTTCATTTCTTGCTTAATGCGGTATTTCCGGCTTTCCAGTTGGAGCACTCTAGTGCGAGTGGTGGCAGTTGTGGTGGTGCTGGACTATGGGGTGAGCGAGGTGCTGGTGCCCTGCCACCTCTAGGTGAGTGGGTGCGAGTCATTCGAGCTCATGCCACTCTTCGTCCACCACCCGCCGTACCTGATGCTGATGACGTGATGCAAGCTGCGCGGTTATTGCTACCACATGCGGACTGCCCACCTAGACCTATTACGTAAGAAATAAAATATATTGTAATTGGTTTTGATATTTCGTTTTTCTATCCTTTTTTTAAGTCATGCATAACCATGTATTTCACAGACTAGAAGAAGCCATAGAACCAGTCTGGTCGCGCTGCGCTCGCACACCTGATGAGCTGAACAGAGCTGCCGTTGGAGTGGCGCAGCGAGCCTTACTGAGTGGAAGACCAGAGCTTGTGGGTGGAGTACGATCATTATTACCATCAGCCGGAATCGACGCGCCAGATGCTTCTGGGCTTACGGCGCTTATGAAGGCCGCATTTGCTGGCGATGAACAGATTGTTGCTGTAAGTAGAGAACGTTAAAGTAATGTTCTACAGAATTCAATAAAACGATAAATAATAAATCAGGTCTGCGTGAAAATAGTTTTTAAGTGGTGATATATTTCCTTGCAGATGCTTCTGGAAGCGGGGGCAGATCCTAACATCGAAACAGGTGGTGCGTGTGCTGCCCACTGCGCACTTCCACTGTCACCACGCTCGCCATCCACGCAACAAACTGCTCCCACATACACCCCGCCGACTGCAGGTAGCTTACTTATTATTTTTTACCAAAGAAGTCGGCAATTCCGTTTAGGTATTTATATTTTAATAACAACCGATGATAATTTATTGAAAACTAAAAAATATGATAATTTATTGAAAACTAAATATATTGCTCAATAATCACATCAGTCTGTGATCACTCGGCGGATGAGTTTGTCAATAGTTGAAACTAAATAATTAAAAACAAAACTTTTTCCAGGATGGACCGCGCTGGTGTACGCATGCAGTGGAGGCGGCGGCGGCGCTGTGGAGTGTGCTCGCCGCCTGCTGGCCGCTGGCGCCCGAGTGGACGGTGCTCCTGCTAGAGGAGACGATGTTTGCACTCTTACACCGTTGCAGGTACTTGACGTTCACGACTATGTATATTTTTTCAGTAAATTATTTACCTACACAATTTATCTATTCTAACTGAATCTTCATGTTGCTTCCAGGTTGCGTGTGGTGTCGGTAACTTGGAGTTGGTACAACTGTTGCTATCGCATGGCGCAGATCCGTTCCTCTCCACACAACTGAACGATGCTCTGTGCTACTCTCCAGCTGCACAGTACGGTTGTTATAGGTGAGTGAAAGATTTATAAAACTAGGTGAAAATAAGTTGATACACCAACTGTAAAACTTTAAATTTCTCCAGTAGGTATACCCGTACCAAATAAAATTGTGTTATTTTTTAATATCATTTTCGTATTTCTAGTGCGGTAGCAGTATGTTGTGCGCATGGACGTCGTGCTTGCTTACGCGCAGCAGTGCGTGGTGGAGCTCGTGCAGCGCAGGCTGTACTGTCTCTGGAGGAGGTGTTGGCTGAGGGTTCTGCTGCCCCACCACCACGACAACCCACCTTCACCAAGCAACAACAACGCGCGTTACATGACGCCATGTACTGTGCCGCCGAGACTGACCACTTAGGTAAGGCCACACAACACTTGTTTAACAACCGTTAGTTATTTTTAAATTCAGAATTTTTATTTTAGTTTTAGGGGGTACATGAAATAAAACCAAGTGGCCATGAGATGTATTACCAGCACTTTTTCGTAATTACCTTTCATATAAAATTCATATTAAATTTTTGTTTACTAGATATCACACTGGAGCTACATGCGCTAGGCGTGCCATGGTCTCTTCATGCGTGGACATTATCCCTGGCTGCTGCTGCTGATGCAGCGCTAGATAGTGTCATAGATCAACTTTTACAAGACTTTCTTCAGGTAATATCCCCAAAATCAAATTTTAGCTACGAAATTAAAGGTGTCGACTGTAGTGAATTATTAATTAATTATTGCTATTCGTTACAGGTGTGTCCGTCAGATGATAGTCACTACAGTAAACAGTTTATTTACGAGTGTCTCCCCCTGCTGTTCAATATTCTACGGTACAGCAAGGTAATGTCACTTTACATTGAGTTAGTTTGATATTTGTTTTTGTAGGGGATTTAAAATTAATAAAACTCCTTTATGTTCAGAAGGAAGGCACAGTCTTACTGCTGGCTGACATCCTGTGTGCGTGTTACGGACGCGAGCCTGTGCCAGGCGTAGCACAGCCGCCGCCTCCAGTAGCGCCTACTCCAGCTAGAGTTGACCCTTCTTACGTCAACAACCCGTCATTGGCTGACGTTACTTTTAGGTACACATATTTTTATGCTCTCCAACATACTTATACAGTAGAACGTGATGACAAAGTAGATTACAATATACCATTTTTCCTCAGGGTTGAAGGACGACTATTCTACGGTCACAAAATAGTCCTCGTATCTGAGTCACCGCGCTTGCGAGCGATGCTAGCTCCAGCAAGAACATCAAATGAAGCCTTACCAGTCGCCAACACTGCGCCGCCTCTCGTGCAGATCAATGACATCCGGTATCATATATTTGAGGTACAAACCTTTAACTTCATTGTAGTCTTCAACAAAAATGATACAGTAATTCATCTTTCTGAGAAATAATTTCATTTCATTATTCTCACTACAGCAAGTAATGAAGTACCTGTACTCGGGTGGATGCTCAGGGCTGGACATCCCTGAGACCGACGTGCTTGAGGTGCTGGCTGCCGCCTCGTTTTTCCAACTCCTGCCACTGCAGAGGCACTGTGAGGCGAGGGCAGCCAAATCTGTGGATCTGCATAATCTTGTCTCGGTTTATATCCATGCTAAGGTAAGAGGACAATTAAGATCGTACTTACTGATCTATTGAACTTAAGATATGTCACAATTACAAATAACCGAGTAAAAATAGGTAAGGTGAGACCAACAATAAGGAGATAAAAATAACTTTTTTTTTCATGTTTTTTTGGTTTTCATTCGTAATTGGTGTTGTTACAGGTCTACGGTGCTACTCAACTACTAGAATACTGCCAAGGATTCCTACTTCAAAACATGGTAGCACTTCTTACATACGATGACTCAGTTAAACGGCTGCTCTTTGGGAAACGGCTACCCGGACATAATGTTCTTGGTGCTTTACTTGTAACATTACAAAAAAGAATAGAAGCCAGGAAAAATCAGGCGAAAAATAGATAACTATTAGGTACAATGTATACCTACAAAACATTTTTATTAAAAGTTTTATTATTTTGATGGATGAAGTATATAATTTTGAAAGAGTCGTCGGTTCCTTATTTTACATGAGTAATAGGGTGACACTCCATAAGATTTATTGATTTATTTAAAAAAATATTTTCCCAAATATTTTCATAAGGCTTTAATTTTGTCATGCTGAAATACCTTTATGTAACGAAGTTTGATAATATTTTATTTTATAATAATGTAAGTACTAAATTAACTTCTATGTAGATAAGTAAGTAGATTATCAAGTAAAATTGAAATATAAATATTTTTGTAACAAAATATATTTTTGTCTTCATTTTGTAATTCTTTCGATAATTTTTATGTATGAAACAGTTAATGACTGGAAAGTATTATATTATCTTTGTAATGTAATTATTGTTGAAATAAAGCTTTGTGTTGTAAAATGTTTTGTTATTTTACTGGCCTTAAATAATAAAGAATACCAATAATTGAATAATAACACATTTGATTACGGTTAGGAAGCCGATTGCAAATAGGAAAAAAAAAATTACTGGCCTTAATTAAAATAATATAAATATTAGAAGGCTCCATTGCGTTCTGCAGAGGCACAGTTAGTGTTAAACACGAAATGTATACCTACCTTTAGTTTTTTGTTGCAGTAATCTTAATGGCTAATCGTTAAAATTAATAATTTCATAATTTTACGTTATGATTTGTACTTTTCCATTACTCAAAATTATTGTATGTCAAATTGGATGACAATACCTAATTGCCAAAGATTGGAAATTAATTGTGTTTGTCCATTATTTTCCCCGAATTATGTGATAATTTAATTACTAGCAACATTTTCAACTGTCAAAAATATTCTCTATGGCGTACGCGTGGCTGGATGACAGAACACAGTTGCGAATAAAAAATTGTCGTATTGCTTATGGTATCAAGAGCAGTCGTGATTTGTGATGTGAATGTGATTTACATTACGATTTTGCGAATTTTTATCTTGTGAATATAGTAATAGTGGAATTTTGTTGTGCATTGTAATGTCGTGACAGTGAAATAAAATGCAGTTCTACAAAGAGAGAATACTCAATGCTGCCCAGTTAAAAAGACTAAGTGAACACAAATATTCTTGTACGAGTGCCAGTATATTGGATGCATGGCTCCAGCCGTGGTGGTGCTGGCTAGTATCTAAAACGCCGCTATGGCTTGCGCCGAATCTCATCACAATATTAGGTTTAATAGTAAATGTAGTCACCACACTTATACTAGTTTGGTAAGTACATTGAAGGTTATATCAATACATAGGAACTGTGTCACAGATCTCGTCCGACCGTAACGACTTTCATTTTCTGCCTGTACTAAGACGTTCTAACGGTGTGTTGTATCAGTCCTACGTAGATGTAGTGGCTAGATTTAGGAAGTAGTGGAGTTTTCATTCAGTAATACGGTACATTAGCGCGTGTTTACATATTGTAGTACTGGAAAGGAGAGGCATGCGATTGGTCGAGTATTGTCGCGCCACTGTGTTTCGATAAGATAGCCGGAATTAAATTACAGTTGTCTCTCCAGTTAGTTATCAATGAGCTCAAACAATAATAATAATAGGTACAGCCCTTGATTTCTGTCTGGATGCTGTGACAGACTGGCTGGTACTTTACTTGACACATAACCTTTGTGTTTGCACTCTCTCTGTTATGATGATAACTGTATAATGCATATCTTTAGTTTATCAATAATTTAATTTTATGTAGATGAACATAGGGTTAGATTCGGAGTAGATATTCTTATTAAATCCTCTAGTTTACTTTTCTTGTAATCTCTGTACCTCCCGAGGCTTTAGATTGATGCCATTATCTATCAGCATGACTATAATTTTTTGAAGGACAGTTTATTTAGGATAAGGTATATATAGAAGTTAGTAAAATGTTATCAATTTTGTTGGTTAATGTCAAAACCTAACTGATTCCAGATAAGATAAAGTAACTGAAGTTTTAATCATGAAATAAAATTTAATAATCATGTTTCTCCATTGCATCAGCCGATAGTTTTTTATATAACTAATTTTGATAATATTGCAGTAAAAGATAACAATACCATAATTATTATTTTAACCGACTTCCCAAAACTTTATTTCCGTGTTGCCTAATTTGGTTTAATTTAAGATTTTAAGAATGATATATTGCTAGATTGAACTTGAATAATATGAATTTCAATTTTATGCTACATCATATTTTACTATTGAACTTCAGAAAATACTAACTTTGATTTTAGGGAGACTGTTGTATTTAGTCATAGACAATTTAGTCAAGCAAATTATTTTCGCAATAAAATAAGGTCAGATTACTTTTATAGTATGGTAATTAATTTAACATATATGTAAATGTTGATAGATAAAGTATGTTAATTAACCTCATTTGAATAAACTACTGGGAATTTGAATATTAATATAAACGCTGTGGCTCAGAGGCCTAGACATTGGATTTATTGAGAAAATAGTGATTTAGCTAATACCTACCTTAACTGGGTCAATAATTTTTCTCAATCGGTTTTTAATGAAAATAAGATTTTTATCCCTGTTTTGATAAATAATTTGTGGTTACATATAAATTTGTAATTATCCTATACATTACGCTACACTATTTATTATTCAAATTTTTGTCAATTCTATTCTCTCGGCGACCGTTCGGCGAAACTTGGTAGTTTAAACTGTCAAACACCGAGTGGTTGCCGGTGACCACAGCCTATTGTTCTTTAATTGTGTCTTTAATGACGCTACTCAATGAGTTAACTCGTAATCAGACAATAAAGACAATACATTCAACAGAAATTAGGAATTTTACATTCATTTCCCAAGTAAGCTATTTAGCTTTATTTAATATTTATTATAAAAAATACATCTGTGTCATTGACAATATTGAAATCACAACAAAGATTTTATAAAAGTTAATCATAAATTAATTAAAAATGTCTGAATGATTCATTATTGAAACAATAATTAGAATTTTATCTTGACATTCTTATTCACTCAGTTTTATGATACTAAATGTAGGTACATTTACTTTTATATTTTGTTCTTATAATTTACTTATTCACTCTGACGTGAATATTGATTTTGATAATTCTCAAACTTAGTTAAGTACCTATATGACTTCTTATCCTGATTGAATCCATTGTATCTTAGTATGAAACTGGGCTCTGATATTATGCACAGGAATATGTTTAAATTCATGTGCACCTTTTTTTCTCGTGAGAGTCACTCAAAAAAGTTAAATAGTTATTGCCTTCCAAGGCACAATGGGAAAAATCTCGAATTCTCTCTTACATAGCAATGTAATTACGCTTTTGGTCCAACTTGGAGATCTAAATTGTAACCTGGCGATTCACATTCGTGCTGGGAGCTAGAATGTCGTGACTGTCGACATCCTGTAGTTGGGTAGTTTCAGTTTCCATCAGTAGCACTTACATGTGTCACGGTTCACTTATAGTCTAAGACCCCGCCTTGAACGACCTTCACCGAGATGCTTATTTGATGAAACATATTTTATATTCAATTTAATATGTCAATAATTATATTCCGTATGGGTTGCCTAATAAATTTCAGTCCAGAACATGGCTAATTAATAATTTAAAAAATATTTTTTTTCAAATGTTTCACCGGTTTGACTATTAAACAAATTCCATTTCAATCGAAAGTATGAAGCCCATAGAATATGGAAACGTTAGGTTGCCTATTGTATTCCAGTCATAACTCTCGGGTTGCCAGGTCTAAACAGGTAAATTTATAGTAGGATTTTGCAACGGCCTGATAATTTAATCAAATTTAATTCAAAATAAAGATTATATAATTATGAACACGGTAAAATAGGGTTGCCTGCGAAAAATCAGTCCTGAATTAGGGTTGTCGAATTTTAAAAAGTGAAATATTGCCGCGAGTGAATAGGTAAGACTGAGAGGTCCCAAGCAACCGTTCCGTGCGTTGGAAGAGGACAGAGTATAACAGCTGCTTTTTAATGCTGCTGCTGCTGTTTTTGTGTCATTAACAGAAGCTGCTGATATTTTCACTGAATCTAAAATAAAAATAGTTCAAGAATTTATAGCTTGTATGTATAGGATTAAGAATTGCACTAATGTGAATAATGCAAGATATCGCATTATTATGAAAAATTACTCTGCTAAAGAAGACAGTGAGCAATTTCTAAAAAAAACTAAAAAAATCACTGTTTATTACCTATACAAAATTATAAAGAAATATATTTTTTTATTATTCAGCTCCTGAGTCATCGGAAATAAAGCTTAGATCTTCGACACCTGCATCTTCTTCGTCATCTCTCTCTGTTTCGGTTCTTTCAACAATATCATCTATTCTTAAAGGTGCATGATCCCCAATAAATCCTCGTGGTTTTAAATATTCATCTAAGTACCAACCACAGCTCTCAGGTTTAAGTTTGATACATATTGGATCTGTTGCATTCAGCCACATCGAATTTACTTAAATAGTTTGTAAAACTTTTTGTGGTAATGATATCCAGCACGGAGGTATGGAGTTAGAGTCAAAGCCTTTTGTTTTTTTTAGAAACTGCTCACTGTCTTCTTTAGCAGAGTAATTTTTCATAATAATGCGATATCTTGCATTATTCACATTAGTGCAATTCTTAATCCTATACATACAAGCTATAAATTCTTGAACTATTTTTATTTTAGATTCAGTGAAAATATCAGCAGCTTCTGTTAATGACACAAAAACAGCAGCAGCAGCATTAAAAAGCAGCTGTTATACTCTGTCCTCTTCCAACGCACGGAACGGTTGCTTGGGACCTCTCAGTCTTACCTATTCACTCGCGGCAATATTTCACTTTTTAAAATTCGACAACCCTAATTCAGGACTGATTTTTCGCAGGCAACCCTATTTTACCGTGTTCATAATTATATAATCTTTATTTTGAATTAAATTTGATTAAATTATCAGGCCGTTGCAAAATCCTACTATAAATTTACCTGTTTAGACCTGGCAACCCGAGAGTTATGACTGGAATACAATAGGCAACCTAACGTTTCCATATTCTATGGGCTTCATACTTTCGATTGAAATGGAATTTGTTTAATAGTCAAACCGGTGAAACATTTGAAAAAAAATATTTTTTAAATTATTAATTAGTCATGTTCTGGACTGAAATTTATTAGGCAACCCATACGGAATATAATTATTGACATATTAAATTGAATATAAAATATGTTTCATCAAATAAGCATCTCGGTGAAGGTCGTTCAAGGCGGGATCTCGTACTATTAACTTGTCATGGTTGCGTGCATACCTTTGCAAATACCTGTGCAACCTAATCAAAGCAATTTGATGATGGAATAGGCTATGTTAACTAACTATAAATAGGTACGATATTTGTTTAGCTGTGACCTATACGCCTTCCCGATAGCGTAGCGAAGTGACCTGTAAAGCCTATAACACACCTACGCGCTGAACGCAATGACCGCGGTAATCCAGTGCCATGTATGTAAATTATTCAGGCAGAATCATCTCACGATGATCAAGAACAGTCTTGCAACAGTTACACGTTTTGCGCAGAAGTTAGGTAGTTAAGCGTCTGCTTTACAATTTGTCGCAGACTCGAAGCTCTCCCAAAGTTTTACGTCTTTATCAAAGTCAAAATCTATGAAAGAAATGTTCAACATCAGACTATGTATGTTATTATCTATAAATTGAATATTATAATGCTGCAGGTTCAGTCCCGATGCGAGGCAGGATCCTCCGCGGTGGGCGTGCGCACTATGCGCGCTAGGAGTCTTCATCTATCAGAGCCTGGACGCTATCGATGGCAAGCAGGCACGACGCACAGGCAGCCAGTCACCGCTGGGCGAGCTCTTTGACCACGGCTGTGACAGCATATCCACCGTGTTTATAGCGCTGGGCGCCTGCATAGCTGTCAAACTAGGAGAGTACCCTACATGGATGTTCTTCCAGGTAAGTTATCACATAGCTTACAACGTTAGTTGGTTATAATTTGAATGAGCTCCATTATTAACGATTGATTACCTACTTTATTAAGTATGAGAAATAGTTAATTAGTTACTATAGAAATAGGTATGTTCTAGGGCAAAAAAATTCCTAGCTATAAAATTAAACTCGAACCTAATTTCTTAACAGTATTAAGCAAGTTAGCAGTTGGTACAAGGTAAAAACAAAGTTAAACGAACGATCATTCTCAACCCTTAAATGCTCTACAGTTTTAACATTAGGTCATGTAAAAGTGTTACCTATTTACTGAATAGTTCTGTTATTGGAATGTAAAACAGTAATTGAACAATGCCGCAATTATTGGACAGAAAGTTATGCAATCAATACATACGTATATTTTTGTTGCGACACTTGCACCGTTCGCACGATTTGCACGGAAGAGATGAAAACCTATCAACTAACAGGTTCTGGACTTATCAGCATTGGACAAGGTTGTTTGTTAAAGACAAACGAGATCACGATTTACCCGTCCAAGATTCACTCAAGCGAAATCAAGATTTTGCCTGATCTGCCAGCACCGACTATCGCGCCAATCAATGACATCATTAAGATTACCCTACCGCAATGGTCTGCGGGAAACCAGACTAATAATTCCCAAACAAAATTGTATCAAGATACAGAGCAATTTGGAGACAGGATTCAGTTGCTCATGCAAGAAGAAGACCAGACACCGACAGCATCTGAGGAGATATCATATCATGACATACATCACTATGTTATGATATATGTGATGCTTGCCATAGTTGCTATCTCAGGAGTAATATATGCACTTCGTCGAGTACGCTGTCGATGGCAAGTACCGCTAGCGGCTGCAAGAGTAGAAACATCGACTACACCACCGCTGCCGAGCACACGGCGTGCAACAATGCCAGGGACAAGACCTCAGACTGAGAGGATAGAGATGGATTGATTTTAGGAAACATGTTTTTATAAAGATTTTGTATTTTTTATTTTTTTTCTGTTTTTTATCATGATGTTTATTAGTTTTAATCATTTGACATGTGAACATATTTTATTAATTTGATTTGTGCGCCACAGCCTCATCATCTCCCGCCCGGGAAATATGTACAAAGTACATGAATTTGTATAATTGCAATTTTACTCTTTGCGCATTCAACGCTTTACTTATTAGACCAGTTCGCGATTGACCGTACACGTGTGCACACAAGTCATTTTTATATCAAGTATTGTTTTAATAAATTTCTATATTTCAACAAGTTTTATTTATCAAGATTATCAGTAATCAAGACAAGAGCATCAGCTCCAACAACATATATGATTTAGTTTTTAAGTCATTTATTTCCAAATGAATCCATTGATACAGATGAAGTAGGGTCAGTTTAAAGAACAAAATACAGAACTAATCCTTTAAAATGAGGGATCTACCAATGTAATTTAGTCTCGTTACACATTACACATCGACGTTGGTACATAGAATCATATGATACTGCGCCGTTGCCCACTCTTTCGAAGAACGCTTGGTACATGATTGACTACACGAACAAACATTTTTAATGGCCGACATAAGTAGGCTGACGCATAATATTTGAGTCCAATTAAATCAGTACCTTTAAGGAGCGCCAACTAGAATCATGGATCCGACTATAAAAATGCACTATATTGTTACAAGGCCCACCACAATAAAGTCATAAAGTTATTAGCAGATTAATGGGATATTGATTAAATACAAGTAGGCACGTAGTCCCACCCATCGCGATGATGACGGAGAGAATTATATCGTACCATAGCAGCTCGGCGCTATATCAGTATTACTAATCTTCGTAATTATTATTAACCTGCGATACGTCATGTTACCAATTAGTGTTTATTAAAACGTAATTTAGATAAGTATCGTACTTTGCAATTAATTTGCTAGTCAATGTCACTTAGTCCCTGCGGTAATCTGTGGAAAATGTCCCCGCAGTGACTATTGTTCCTGGCATATTAGTCTCTGCACTCTAATGCAATTAGTACCTACAACGCCGTATAGAAACGTGTCTCAAAAGAGCTCGATAGTTGTGAAAATTACTTATAGGTCGTCGATTTAATTACCAGGTGTTTGCGAAGCAATCTGTTGACATTGTTTATTTTATTGGCTCTTACATAACAATAATAAACTAACTACTTTCTCTTAGTCCTACTAAATAATAAATTTTTCTATCACAGTTCGTGATAATTTACATATTTTAATACTAGCTCTTGGTATTTTATCGAGCTCAGATTCGTAGAGTTTGTTTTCCGCATGAAATACTCGATTGATAAGCTATTCAATCTATTTGATAACACTGTTTGTATATGTATGAGTATGTGTTATGGACGAGAGAATTGAGAAATATTATGAATAGGCGAACGACATAAAAATAAACGTTTCGGAATATGATGTTTAAAAGCCAATAAAATTCATATTCGAAAACACAACCTTCTTTTTTTCTTCAAACATTGATACAGATGCGGCATTATTTATTCCTCCGTCTATCTGTTTCCGTGTGTATGACGCAAAAACAACTGCACACATTGTAATAAAAGTTGGCATAGTGAAAGTTTACATTACAGAGCACTTGGCCTTATTTCGCGTAACTGAAAATATTGTCAGTGAACGAGGCCAGCCAATAAAACCAAGTGTTGGCAAAAATGTCTGAGAAAGTCTCATCGGTACTGAAATAGAAAAATCTGTGAATATAAATAAATGCATTTTTATTAGCTTTCAAAAAGGAACACTAAATTGTTAAGTCTTAGAATCTCAGGGAGTTTTATTGAGTAAAAAATAATCCTGCATGAATCTCTCGTATATTGAACTTCTAAGGAATCAAATCTACGTCATAGTATGTCGTGTGCGTCCCCGACATGCCCATAATTTATTCGTTCCTAGATTTCCATGCCTTAACGGTAATTGCACCCTTTATATACTACCCGCGGCTTTCAGCTGTAGTCGTGAATGAACCACATAGTTACGTATGTCGCCCCTACCAGTGACGTAATGCCATAATGTACTTTTCCGTATTCGCGACATGACCCTCATTATTTCAATATTCTTATTTGGGAGTGTTGCCAAACTATTGCGCCGGCTACCACCAAACTCTGGAAACAGGCCAATTTCTACGAAATAACGAAACATTATTTTAAGTTTTACCTAAATTCGACCGAGATTACTCATATCGATTTATACGTGGTCTCTGTAGATAGAATGATTAACAGCTATTAAATTAAAAAAGTAAGAAATTGGTCGTAACTGTTGGTAACCCACTGACCGACTCACGCAGTATTTAGCCGCGAATGCTTGCCGAGATACTCGTGATTGATTCTAGGACGAGTTGCGAAACCTGCGAGTTTTCACCAAGTTTAGTCCTTGTAATTATACCAAACATGTATATGATTTGCTAACATATTATGTCGCTTGATTTTGTTGGAAAACCGACCAACGATGTTTTAGGTAATTGTGTACGATGATTTTTGCTTCATGTTAATGATGCTGATTTAGCACATCACGCTGTGAATTGTAAGAATAGATTATAGTTACAGCTCCTCTATGACCTAAGAGTTGAAAAAAAAACAACACGTAATGCAAAGCAGTAGAGAAGTTGCCTACAGTTTTTGCTACATCATTTGCTACAGATACGCTACAATTTCTAAGAAATCTAGTCTAGTTCGTAGCTCTATCATTCAATGTTGTACGAAAGAATGAAATCGATTTGAATTATCAGATTCTATTCAGATACAGTTTCAGTCGAAACTGGAATCTTCCAAAAATGTGAATTTGACAAAAGAAATTTGGATCTGACGGTCAATCCTAGTTTAAGTCTGGCCTTCGTTCTTTGCTCTGGATGGTGTAACTACCACTAACAAAAAAACATCGTCTAGGAACATATTCCTAATTATTTATCATGATGTTTCAGTGTTTCTGCGCGATGACTCTGTTCTACTGCGCTCACTGGCAGGCGTACGTGACTGGCACGCTCAAGATGGGCCGGATAGACGTCACGGAGGCTCAGTACTCCATAATCGCCATCCACCTCGTGTCCGCCATACTTGGCCCCAGCTTCTGGGCCACTCAGGTAACGTAGTCCACCCATACTGCACTGCGTACCTCTTAAACCTTACGATCTTCGGGCTGCCAGTACAAAATGTCTTCTAAACATAAAAGTAAGATACAATACAGGCATGAACATTGTTTGTAAGAGTTTTGTCTGAATGTAGTGACGTGCGAGCCTTCACTGGCCACATAAAGTCGTTATGTTCAAGCAAATTACGTACGCAGACGTCAATAAACAGCCCCAACAAAAACATACTGCAAGTCATTTTGTACGGCGAGCGTTATACAGATAGACTCACAGATTATCTTAATATTCTTTTAGCTGAGTGTTGTCCAATGTTCAATTATCTAACGTTTGAATAACACTACTTGAATACAAGTTGGTTGACATTATATCAATGTTGGCTCACAAATATTTAATGTACACACGAAAGAACTGCTCGGATCGTTTGTATAATGCAATGCGTTTATATAAATATTTATCAGAGGATTCGTTCCACAAATAATTATGAAAGTGAACTAATTAGAAATGAATTATCCTAAACGTGGTTCTTTTGTGTTGCATGGATATAATTTGTTATTCAAATAACTAAGTACCTATCTACCTACTAAAGACAAGCCACCAGCTGTAAACTGTTAGGCGACGTTTAAAAATACCCACATGACCGCTATAGTCGTGATCTGTCAGTGTTCCACCGTCATTATCAGGTTACTACTGACTCAACCTGAAAGCCTTGTTGTCCAGTCGATCATTGCACAATGTGGACGTAGTTCCGCCAACTAGGACTGCTCTCCTTGTATCACTAAATTATTATTTGCAAGTCATTATAAAATCATCGAATAATTTCCTAGTTTACACTTTTTATGAATCGATTTCTGCCCTTCCTGGGATTTCCTTACATCATGATATTGCGGTTTCTATTTGGCGGAGCTGAGTGGATGTGAGGCACATTGTGTCGTCGGGCACTAGCACTCGGCCAGTAACGCACGTGTGCACTAGGTGGGCGGCGGGCTCGAGGTCCGCTACTCGCTGGCGCTGGTCGCCGTGGGGGGCGCGTTCCTCACGGTGGGGGCGCTGCTGGCCTCCATCGTCACAGGCGGAGTGGGCAAGAACGGCTCCACCGTCGCTGTGAGACATTTCTTTAGTCCCACCTACAATCACCCACCGTGGGAGACCAATCTAATACCATTCCTGACTGACAACATGCCAGAATGTCGATACATCCCTTTTTGGACAGCCCTCTTTTGCTAATCTTAGCAACATTTATTCAGTCTTTCAAATTGAGAAAAAAAAGATAATACAAAAAAAGTAAAAAATAGTCAATTGCCTATGTCTTATAATTTTGCCACACAGAAAAGTTGGTTCTCCCACAGCGGCGCTGATTGTGTTATAGATTGGGTATCTAAATTGTATCGTATTGTAAGCATTGTCTGTTGACCAGCATAATCTAGCGTGGTTAGTAGTCAGCTTCAAATTGGCAGCAGTTACACGGCACTCACACGCAGACACGGACACTGCACTTACATTACTTATTCATTATGTTTGCTTGTAACGTTCTTACAAAATAATAAAAAAAAAATGTTTCATAGAAGAGGTTCTGATCGAAATTGCCCATGGTTAAGCAAATTACACTCTTATTACGTAATTGTGCAAAACAAAAATGTGCCATAACAATATTAAAAAGGCAAAGGCATTTAGACCGTGTAAACGTTACAAGCAATACTAAGTAATGAAGGTGTATGTACCCGTGTGTGTGAGTGCCATACATTAGCTTTGTTCTGTTAAACTAAGACACTTTTGGTTCCATCGCTTATTATCATGTGGGTTTTTTTAATAGCATGAATCTAATTCAATGTAAGTAGACTATGCTCCCTGTTGCGGCCTCGGAGTACCACGTAGTTTGTTCTCTATACCTGTACCTATAGCCTGTACCTCGTATAAGTAAACAGGACTTTGTACTATAGCACTGTCTCTTCACGGAGCATGATCTATTATTATTTATTTAAAGAATGTCCTTATTTCCGTGTAGGATTTGTTAGTCACACGTTAACGTAAAGGCTGCCCCACGCGTGTGGTCAGACCGATGGTGTACTTGCGGCGTCGTCTAGTGTAGACTTGATTCATTTGTTGTAGTCATTGTGTGAATGTTTGCCGCCTGCCGCACAATCGGTCTACTTGTATCTCAGTAACTGTAGACAATATAATAGTACAGTGATACATATCAATGAGAAGTGTGCCGCTCGTGTGTGGGGAAGCCTTCATAGTTAATTTACTATCAATACCGTGGCTGGTGCGTCTCCCCTTTTATTTTATTCCTTTGTTGTGGGTCTTCACTCATTTGAAGGATTCATGCAGTGTACATAATGCACCGTGGTTGTGTCGAGGCTGTGTAGTGCCACGTGTAACGGGCCCCTCATGCCGCAGATCCCCCCGCTGGGCGTGCCGCTGAGCCTGCAGGTTACCTCGATGTGCTTCGCCGCACAGTTTTACTTTGCCACCAACTTTTTTTCTACATTCCGAGTTAGGGGATGTGGCAAAAACGGATCGACCGTCGCCGTAAGACTGCTAATGTTTACTTGAACATCCGTGGGACGTCGGTCGAATGCGACGATTCAGTGCCTCAAGACAATGCATTTACTAAAGTAACCTTGCCCCGATGACCGTCCAGTAGAGTACAAAGTATGTCTCTCTGACGTCACGTGAAGCTGTACGACTGAATCGTCACATTTCGTGATCTTAACAAGCTGCATGGAATAATATCATGTAAATAACAGGCGACCATTATTGTATATTAATATACTTTATATTGTTTTACAACATTATATGGACTTACTTCCATTCGCAGTGATTAACAATAGCTTTCATAATATCATGATACAAAAGCTAGAAACATTTAATTCGTATTATTTAATATTACAAGATAATAAAAAGTTAAATATAATATGCATCTAAGTTTGTGTGTGAGCTATAATGCTGTAATATTTTTGTTTCTACAATTGTTATTTCGTTGAATCTAAGAATATTCGGGGAATATAAAATTATCAGTTTAAATTCGCCAATTAATTTAATCCTATTAAAGTATATTTAGTATATCAAGGTGTTAGCGTTAACTTAGTTTGTTTTCTATCTTATTATTTATATCTATCTTATTATTTATAAGGTGGTTTTTCGCACATGGCAATAATTTGATTCAGGCACGGGTGTTAGATGGTGTTAGATTGTACCACACAGGCCATGGTTCTGCAGGATATTTTGCACAAGTTTTACTATTTATTATACTTCAAACTAATAATATTTACTAAGGTGGCACACAGTTCTAGGTTTTGGTGTAACAGTATCACACAATCTACAAACAGTTCACTACGCTCCTATATTCGAATTGTCAACAGTATATTTGTGTTACCTTAGCCATGGAACACAGAATCATGTAACCACATCGCAGGGGGCTTGGCAGTGCCCAGTAACCACACATGCAGCTATATAACATACATAAATGAGTGAAGACAGCACATGCCGTACGCGTGCAGTACAGCCGGAGTCCGTCGCCACGCGAGGCCGTGTAAATGATATTAATGGCATGTATGTGTTTCTGTTTCCGCGCGCCGCCGCCGCGGGACCTAACCGCATGCCGTCATCACGTGAACATCATCACCACCATCGCATATCACGGTCTAACACTACAGTTACCGATAAACATCAGCTTGAATCTGATATCCAACTACGCAGTCGTGTTGTTCACCACGTACCTAGTCGTCGGTTACGTTACCGTCATTATGAAGGGTGGCGTGGGGAAAAACGGCTCCACCGTCGCAGTAAGACTTTTTCAATTAGCATTGTGCCGTATGAATAACACTTAACTGAGTAAGCGCTGCACAGAGTGTACTAACGTGCCACCGCGCCGACTCACGACGCTCGATGACCGACCGATCACTAGTGTTGTACCGTCGTATCGTACGGCGTCCTGTAGTGTTGTGCTGTGTCTCATAGTGCACCTGCCGCATTCATTGCATGTCTTGTCTGGCTTCGTACTAACCGCCGCTTTATTTTGTTGCTTGCTCAATGTGCACGTAGTTTTAGTAGTTAGCAATTAGAGCATTGATTAAACAGTACTTAAACTTTTAAACTTTAATGCATGCATTTAAATTTGAGTTTTTAATTAAATTGAATTTTCCAAGTAATAGTCTGAATGCCTCTTAGTTTGAATGTGTTTGCACTGTTTGTCAAGCACCGTGCCGCACGTGCCTGGCTCCGTAGGCCGTGGTACAGTCAGTAGTTCCCGCAGGGCACCAGTATCCTGTCGCCGGTGATCCCGTTCTCGCTGGTGGTGGTGCCGGCGTTCATCATCTTCCAGAAGAGTGAGTCCAACGTGTACCAGCACCACCCGTCTCTCTACATCATGGCCTTCGGTATGGTCGCCGCGAAGGTCACCAACAGGCTTGTGGTGAGTACTCACATTATTTAAAAAGGCGTGTTGATTTAGTTTTCTGTGTGTGTTTTGTTATTTAATTTCACGCCTCCATTTTGCAACATTCACACATGCTCTATACCTAAAACTCAGGTGAAGTTAAAGAGTCAGAATACCAAAATAGATGTAACAATTAGAACGATGATGTTTTCAGGTGGCTCACATGACAAAGAGTGAGATGGACTACTACGATTGGTCGCTGCTGGGCCCCGCCATGTTATTCCTCAACCAGTACTTCAACCACGCGCTGCCAGAGTACTACGTGCTGTGGCTATGCACGGTGAGTAGCAATTTTAACTCACATTTTTTTAACAGTCGTGCACAGGTATGCCCTGGTGTTCTACTGAACCCTAACGTGGTTCAATAATATCAAAATGAAGTTTCTGACGTATTGTTTGTATTGCTTGGTAGATCTGGGTGTGCGTGGACCTGATGAGATACTGCGGCCAGATCTGCCTGGAGATCTGCGGGCACCTCCGCATCCAGTTGTTCCGCATCACGTCCCCGCCGGCGGGCGCCGCCAACGGTACGCGCCGCCCCAAGCGGCAGCACTCGCAGCACGCGCACCACGCCTAGCCCTCACACTCCTCGCCTCGACCGGGCCCCGCCGCCCCGCCACCGGGCCCCGGCTCCCCTCGGCCGGGCCCCGTCTCCCCTCGAGCGGGCCCTAGCGCTAATTCCCCTCGTGCGGGCCTCTGTTTTCTTTCTTACATAAAGTTGGCTCTGGACGCTGCTGTAACCTTCTCTAGTAAGGTCAAATTAAGTTATTTTATTTGTAGATAAATCAAGACTCGACGCTAACGTCCCTGTCTCCGGGCAGCAATCAATGTTGTATAAAATACAATGTTTCCGTATCGTGCAGTGAACTTTCGTTTTAAAAATTTCGTTGTACAATGGCGGCAGCGTTCAAAGCAAACTATGTTTTACTGTTTTGTTGTTAGTGATGGCTCGGTTTGTATGTTATTGGTTAAGGATGCGGTGTTCCGACACCGTCACTGTTACAAGTCTACTCAGTACACACTACAGACGTCCAATTGTCTCTATACTGAAGCAATACGTGTACTCGACATAGGAATACAATCATAAGTGACATGTTGACAAACGGTATTACTTGTGTGACAAGCTAGCGTCCAATAAGAACGTTGTAACTTATAACGTAGGATACAAGATGGCGGCGGCCGCGACCGCTCGCTCTCGAATAAAATCAATTGCTCTTCATTAGTGTTGGTAGGTGTAATACTTGTACTTCCTTCTCCAAAGCTATTGTAGTATTGATTCTACCTGTAGTGCATCTACGTGTTAGATAAGTCCGACATAATTTTGATGTCGACAAAATATGCTTAGGGTATAAGGTAAATGAAAACAACAGTTGTGCAAGACGAACCAATAGTAATAAATCTACATAATAATATTTAAAGAAATAATATCTTACGTTTATTAAAGCTAGCAAAGAGTTTTAGGGTCAATCTATACTAGCGCAGAGTCGAAGCGTATTGAATTGTCGTGTGAAAACCGAACATACCAAATTCAATTTTAACTTCTCATCATAACGCACACATTACTTCTGAGCTCTGAATTAAGCCAAGGATACATACGAGGAGAAATGTCCTGCGACTCGTGTCGCCAGCGACGTCAGGTGAAGTAGGTTGATGCTGCCGGACTTCGGTCGACATCTCTGGCAACTACACGTCACTGTGGACATAGGTTGCGCGTTGCGACATCGGCCGGCTTCGCTCGATATGTCACCGTTACACGTCTTAGGAAATTTGTACCTAAATGTATTCTTGGCTTTAGAGTTGTTTGCTCACAGACGCGCGACTTTTAAAATCTCAGAAGTTATGTGTGCGTTACGCTGTGGATTTAAGGTTGAATTTGTTATGTTCAGCATTTCGATGCACTTCGTTCTGCACTAGTATAATTTGCCGTTCATTTAGACAGTTTTCGCATCTATTCGATGTTTATAGTAAGGGAAGAGTAACATTGTACCTGTCTGTTAGCGTGTGTCTCTCGGGACGGGGGTAGGCAGTGCATGTCTAATGTACTAACACATGGTAGACGATGGTGCTGGGTCATTAACAGTAATAATACGACTTGGTGATGGGGCGAGAATTCATTATATCCACTTTGAAAATGCTATAGACGTAAGTAAATAATAGCTTCCGACATAATCAAATACACTGATTTCTTTTTTAATGTTAACAAGTGAAAATGAACTCTACAGCGCCTTTACAATAAGAATTACTTTTGTAAATCAATGTGTTCTCGATGTTCCCCGTCGCTGGTCATAAATTGTGCATCATTGTTGTAGATGAGGCGCGAGTATCGGATAATAGTTATCTCATACACATAGGAAGCTGTGACTAGTAAGTTATGGACGTGCCGACTTCACAACACGCCGTACGACTTGTGTACCAACTGGCTAACGCGATGTTGACGTCATTGTAGTTTCGATCTTGTGGTTTTATACTTAAAGCTCAAAATTAAACACAAAATAAATATACCTGTATTTGGTTGTAGTTACACAATTTTGTGTATTAAGTAGTGAACATAAAGTTTATTATTATGTGCACTGTATACAACACTATAAATGGTGTTCTAATCTTTATTTTTGCCAACATCGTGGTTGTCAGTAAAACAATAGCCTGAGTTAATACTACTCTGCTAATTACACAAGAATACAAAACACTTCACACGATATATTCGCACTTACATGACATTTTCGATGTTGAATTCTGTTAAAATGGACGCCGAAACAGGTCCGTTGTAAATAATTCATTGATTTATTTATTTTTAATTTATAATTCATACAAATCTGTTTCGTCGTCACACAGCAGTAAGTGCATATCTGAAAACGTTAAACAGAATACAACCTTGAGTTAATGTAACTAGGTATTAAAATTGCTAGTTGTAGGTCAGGTAGACGTCAGCTAGAACATAAAATACTAGAGATTATTTATGTAAATAGCTAAAATATGGAAATATCCACCATGTTCATAAAGAGAGTTATAGTGAAAACAAAATATTGCATATTTTAATACCATTTCTGTTCATTCACAGTTCAGTTCTACTAGTGAGTAGTCGATCGTATCATTTGTAGAGATTGTCATCTCTTGGCCAATTTATTAGCGAAATTAGATTAATAAAGAAATCTAGAAAATTTATACTCTGAGGGCTTAACGAGACCGCGTTCAGGGCTCTGATTGGTTTATTCATAAGAGCCGGCCAATCACAGCCCCGAACGCGGTCAAAAGGAAAACCAAGTCGTCTTAAGTCCTCTGTCCTGTTGATACCTTAATTGTCTTATTGCTAAAAGAATGGTGTACTTATTTCAAACTTCGTCTATTTCTCTCAGAAACAATAGGTTCCTAGAAATGTTTAGTAAATAAATCTTGTTATAAAAATAAATGTTAATACGACTGTTACGCGATGAAGGCAATATAATACTGTGAATTAGGTAATTCTGTCTTTCCATTTTTGTAGAATTAGGTGTTGTGATAGAAACGCGTCTAACTCAGTGCTAGTCGAGAGGAGACAAATGTACTTTGTTTTGTATAAAAAAAAACAAAAATCTAAGTCCGCTCAAGGCTTGGTTAATTTACTAAATTTAGTTTTAATGCCCGTCTGGTAGATTATTAAAAAAATAAATAATTTAGACGATTTATTGATTTGAACGTCACGATTTGCTATATTTTATAGGGAGCGGTGACGTAGCGACCTAAACTAAACATTGTATCTAATGCTGGAATACTGAAACGTTACTCAATTTTAAGTTGTACTCAAATATCGTGTCATTTCACAAATAATTTGTAGAGATAGAACTATACTTAAGCACGACTTAAAATTGAGTATCGTTTCAGTATTCCGACATAAGTAATGTAACCTTATATGACAAAAAATGTGTCTAGTATATTACTTTTTCATTATATAACTGACGGACTAAGTACATTTTTAATTTTCGTACACTTAGAACTGAGATTAAATTGTACAAAGTCAGTCAGTCCCTCTCGACCTCCACTGACGCCAATGTATTAGTTAATAGAAAGTGTTTAAACGATGATGCTCTACTAATACTAGATGTCTAACTGTCCATCAAGTTGCTACTGTCATTTAACCTGTACTTCTACCATGAGTTTAATATAACTTAGACGTTAATTTTTGTATGGTAAATTTTACAGACTCCTCTTGCGTCACTTTCGGAAGTAAAATCTGCCATGCATACAATTTACGTCATAGCCATCAAGTATTGCTTTAAGCTCAAATACCGAACCGCTTCTCAATTTTAAGATTGTACTTTAAACTCATAGGTACTGAGGGCGTAGTACGAGTGTGTTACGTTGAACGAGACCCAAACGCTACCGTGCTCTGATTGGCCTGCGCCTATGAACTAACCAATCAGCGTCAGACGCTGTAACGTCTGAAAAACAAATTCGTACTAAGTCCTTTGGACGGCCGCCGGTGATGGCTGACTAACTACTCTATCTCGTAGCTCTTTACATAATTCTCTTCTTCCTATATGCTATTTATATATGTACTATGTATGAAGTGACGACGCTTGCAACTGCTAGACATGCGATGTTTACTGTCTCCTCATCTAGTCGGTTAAATTTGAATTTAAAATAGTTAGTGCACATAATTGGAGCTCAAGTGTAAGAGTAGCTACGCCTCCATAGTGCTAAGTGTGTAAATACGTGTTAATTATTGATGTTACACAAAACGCAAGCCCGCTGTATCATATACTGTTAAATGTATTTTTTATGTGAAATATAACAAATGTACATTTTCATTATACTTGTTTTATTATACTCAGGGTACATATACCGACTTATATACAATATTGCTTTATTTATTGTGTGGTTCAAGAGTTTTTATTTCACATTGTTCCCAAAGTCGTGCCCCCTAAGGTTCGCTACACGCTACTTATACGGACGCAAAGGTCAGTGGAGCTTGTGTTGTTCAAATATAAACCGTGTTGAAATAGTAATTAGAGCTGTAGTAGTGTTTTAGGATATTGCTTTATTATTTTATGTATTGCTTATTATTTCTTGTTAACAATCATGCTTTTTATTGTAGTTACTAACCTTTTTATGTTTGAAATCCGTACTTAATACAATAATAATAATTATCCTTTCATGTTAGGACATTTTCTACTTTTTAATTTTTCTTTTTTGTTTATTATTCGTTCTTTTATAAACAAACAACTTCAAATCTAGCGTTGTGTGCGTATTATTCTACATTCAGTACGTTTTAGCGTAGTACACGACATGAACCCAAGTTTTTCTTTTGCAGTGATAACGGTGGCGAGTGAGAGCGAGAGGTCGGACTCCGAAGACGTAGTACCATTAATTAATAACAATTCTATTAGTTAATCTATACATAATAATACTCTAGTATTCCTCACTATTGTAAGACCAACCACATGTCATGATACATTTGAAATAGGAAACACAGTCTTATTGTCAAAGGCAAAGATGTTATTTTAAAGTGTTCATGATCGTGATTGTAAGTGGAAATAGACAAAAATTTAAGTTATTTAGGTGACGGGAGAAGTGCTGCAGTGATATTATTTAAATCGTTCATAAAATTGCCCATACGAATATGTCTTAAGTTAAATCAGTCGGAACTCATACATTTTCAAATTAATAAGGTCATTGTAACTATTTTTAACTTTATTAATTTTCCTGTTTAATAGTTTGCAGAATAGAATTAATTATCATTAATAGGATTGAAACATCATTCATTTGAGTGTTCACTTCCTCACAAACACATGCAACCGTTAAAATAGTACCAATAGTATTCGCTTGTAAACTGTTAAGTTTGTAAATTATTATACTAAAATATAGGAGAATTTATTGTGAATCTACATGTAAAATAAAGTTATTGTACATTCATAAAGTGGTTTTTATGAACGCTGAGTGAAATTGAACGCGGGTGAGATAATGATGCCATGACGCCGTCGGGCGGCGGTCGGCTCTGACTTATTGATAAGACAGTCATTTGTTTACCAACTTGTGTTATTGTGTGTAATGTACTGTCTGTGGATACCAGTGACCTAGTGTTAGAAAACATGGCTAGTGAGAGCCGCAGACGCAGGGATTACGAAGGAATCGATGAAGGTAGGTCATTTAAGTTTATAAAGCAAGATTTTAGTTCTATATTCTACTGTTATCTTACGTTTCCTGCCTATATACTCATGTATGCTGAATATAAACAACTTGAAATATTTTTTACGTTAAGTTACAATGATTTGTAGCTAAATTTTCCTTGACATAACATTTCCAAGGTTCAAATTATGCAAAATCACTGAGACTGACTCATTCCTCTAGTCTAGTTAGTAGATAGATATAGGTTGGTGGGTAGACAAAGTATTATCGCAGGATGTGGGATAACTACATCTCTGTGTGACAGTACGAACTAAGATACAAAAAAAATTTATAATGTAGCATAATCATTGTCTGCATGACTGAATGATCTAGAAATAATTTCGAATTTCTTATCCGATAAGTAGGTAGGTAAGTACTTGAGCGAATTGAAATGGTTTTGTGTGCCGGTAGTATAATCGTAGGTTCTTGTAAATTGTAACACTCAAGTTATATTCTCATTGTTTAGGATAAACCTGTGAATATAATATAGCCCCTATTGAACTCAATGGTCCTTTGAATCACGTAGAAGTATAAATATTACTTAAGTAACTGGGTATGTCAAAACATAAACGAATCCTTGGTACGGAATACCGGAATATCTATTGTCCATATTTATTGAAGTATCGTCTCACTCGAGTGAGAACATAAGGACGTGTTTCCGCTCCTAGCTATCAATAGGCCTATTAAGTGATATGAAGATTGAAAGGGCACTACAAGGGCCATACTTTGGGAACCAAATCCCAATGACTTATCTAGTCAATGTTTATCACTGTCATCGTGTTTTTGGTTGGTAACCTTCTTAAGACGAAGCTGGTTATTCCATTATGCATTTCCCCGGTGACCTTAGAAGGAATATTGGAATAGGTAATAGGCAAGTGTCAGATATCCCTTGACCTTACATCCGACGCATGATACACAGTTCAAGTTCTTATTTACCTACCTATAATAACACGGGACCACACTGACAAGTAAAAAAATGTCATACGATTTTAAACCATACGT